TGAGGGTTTCGACTTTTGTCAGAAGGATTTGAGGTTTCGACTTTCGACAGAGGTTTCGTCATTTAGAGCTTAGGTTTGACTTTCGTCATCAAGCAAAAAAGGTTTCGTCTAACAACTATGCAAGGTTTCCCTTAGCACATACGTACGTATGTACAATACGTATACACGCATACATAATATTTTTATTCAAGGTGTTATCTACGTCCAAGGTGTTTATACAGACGTTTAAGATGTTAAAGTGATATGGAAGAATTAGATAAGAATCTAATAGCTATAATATGGATGCTTAAGGTATGCATGTATAGTTTTTCTGCGTATTTACCTACATAAAAGTCCATTATAACAGAGATTCTTTAATTCACAAATAAAGTAGTATAACAAGCAATTATATAATATAATGATTCTGCTTTAGTTAATCCTAATGACATCCGATATATTACAATATCAATTCTGCATTGCGGTTGGAGTCAAATTGGGCATAGCATCGCGGAATAACGAGCATGGGCATTATTTAGAGAATCGTACGTATTGTACCTTCTGAAATAGCATAAAGGCACATCCAAAATAACGCGCACCTCATATATATAAGGTGTCAGTCAATCCGGCTGTTTCTATTGCGTATTTACTAATTTCCGTCTTTACCTCAAAATAATTCCCATGCAAATAACGCGTAGGTGGGCATTATTTAATACATATCTAATTATGAACACCGTGCAAATGGTATAGTGAATTATTAAATTTTGATTCAATTATTAGCCAATTCATTGTTACTTGAGAAATACCCATAAATTAAATATAATATAAATTATATAATTTATGCAAATATATGCCTTCCAACTTTATAATCAATGTACTGTATATCCGATATCGAGCATAAAAAAAGTCATGCATACGTACTGTACGTACATACAGTTCTTGAGCTATAAATTTAATATAACCTTGCTCTGCGAGCTTTAATGGCAAATAAACACGATAAGAGTATGTATGTATGTACTATACGTAATAGGTTCCAGTCAATAAAATTAATTTTTCTATATAAGCATAAAGTGTCAAAAATTTTCTGTCTTTATTTTTTAATTTCTAAATTTTAGTAAATTTTTCATTTTTTGACTAAATCAAATAATATGAATCCTAAATTCTTAATTTTTCCTAATTTTTCTTTCAATTTCACTTACATTAACTATCACTGTTGATGCTCGCATTAATAAACGTGCTATTATTAACAAACGTGATGATTATGAACATGTTGTGAATCGGGTGGTAGTCCTGGGTGGAATAACTACCAATATACTAGCCCCGAAAAAGAACTAACCCTTCATAATATTGATTCTCCACAACATTGCTGTATGTTATGTGTTAATGATCCGGACTGTGTTGAATGGAAATTTAGTGTTCGTACAAGTAAATGTTTTCTTTACTACAACACAAGTATTCCTGAAACTTGTTCAGATCCAAACATTCAGCCAAGCTCTACGGGTGATGAAGGTGGTGTTATTCGTTGTAGTGATGATTATAATAATGTTATTCTTAAACCTTAATTTTTATACATATATTTAAGTAGCAAAATGAGATTTACATGTATTAAAACTATAGGTTATGAGAGTTTAAAAATAGATCCACTTAATCGTTATTATTTTTTTGTAAACAATCTTATTTACAAAAAAATTATCTTATAGTAGTTTTTTTTTTTTTTATAGACAGGTTTTTTTACTTTTTGTCATGCTTTATAAAAGATTTTATTTTTTTTTCCTGTCTAATTTGTTAATAAAATGAATATTTGGTAAATTTGCTAGGGTGATTAAATGTTGTTTTTAATATTTTTAATTGAGTTTAGATCTTAAGATTATGCTAACGCTAATTACAAAAGATAATATTTTACTTGCATCACATAGTTTTGAATAAACACATGTTTTAAAACACCTTGTTTAAAAGTATAGTGTATGTAAATCAAAATTTAATAAGTTAAAATAATATGTTTCAAACTTTGTTAATTATCTTTCACGGTTCCAATAATTGTATTTAATTAATCTGTAAAATTTTAATACCAGAAATCATAATCTTCTCGTGTTATTCGATTGCAGATTTGCTGTTAAGAAATTTAGCGAATAAACTTTTAAATGCATTACGAGATAGTGAATACCTCTTGCGATTTAGCCATTATTTAACAAGTTAGATTTAATGAATAAGTTTATCAAAAAATTATAATTTAATTTTATTTATATAAAAATAGTTTGAATAATTAGTTAATTTTAATTCCACTTATTGAGTGGAATTCGGAATCACAAAGGTTCTATTTCGACGTGCAATTTTAATACAATCAGAATATGTAATGTGTATTAGGCTATAATTTTCTGTTGGATAAATCGTTCACCGGTCATTATTAACCTTTTTCTATATTTTTTATATTCCAATATCTAGAATCTTGTCGATTCATCTTTGTTTTTCGTAATACGTTATGAAAAATTCTCCAGAACTTAATTAAATAAATAAAATTTGTCGATTCGATAGTCTAAATCTGTCTGCCGAATTTTTGTAGATCGAGGTGATTTAGAGTACGTACGTATGTGAATCTGAAAGGATCGTGGGTTTTTTAAAAGATGAATTTTATCTAGTGATTGTGGATTATTTTACACAATTAGTCATGCTTTTTTTTTTGATAAATGTATATACAGGCTTATTTAAGATGCATAAATAACTATATCGAATTTAAAAAATGCAAGAACGTTAGATATTATTATAAATTATATTTTAGTGCATTTATTTTTTTAAATATAGCTTGCTTTTATACAATAAATATCAATATTCGTTTTGATCCTGTTTTAATTTATTAAATAACACTCTAAGGATTTCATGATTGAAAAATATATATATTGAAATATTTGCTATGGCCAAGATATAGTCGATATAGCCGAGAATGTGAAATTTTAATTAATAAAGTAAGAGTGCCCTGATTTTTTTTTTACAATGTAGGCTGAATATATGAGTTAACCTTTTTTCTTGCTTGTCAAATGTACTTATGCTGGATATACTTGACTTTGCGGCCAACTATCCATTATATTGTGATCTGTTATTACTATCTGTCGCTTTATACTCAATCTCAACTACTATGATATTTAAATCTTTTATTAATGACGCTATCATCTTCTTCAAACTCTCCTATATAATATATTATCATTGTGAGATAATTATTGCTGATGTAGATATTACCGAAAGACGAATATTTGAAAGTGATGAAAAAAATTAATTGCTAAATATTTTAATCATTGTCGACAATAGCTGACTTCACCTGACAATCAATAGTATAATTAATGTCTAATAAGAGAATACCTCTAAATAAGCAAATTATGAAATGGAATGTGTAATGTTAAAACAAAGAAAGATTAAAAACGCTCACAACTCGATGTTTTTTGTTTAAGAGAAATAAATTGGATTGAAGCTACACATAAATAATCAATTTTTAAACTAAATCATTTGACAATCCCGGATACTTATGAAACAACTATTACATCATGCGAAGACGTGTTGTCTTAACACATTTGCAAGTCTAAAAAAGTATATAAGGCTGCCTTGTATCTTGAACTTAAGTTTTCCGGACAATTATTTATTTTAGCTTTATTAATGACGATTCGTTAGTTCTTACACGCGAATAAAGGAGAGCCGGGCATTATGACACACTTAAGAGTTCACGTATAAAAATTTTTAGAAAAAACATTTTATTTACAAAATTTAGTGAAATAAAATCTAATGATAAAAAAAAACCCCCGAAAGTTAAACTTTTAAACCTTTTAAAAAACTGCTGTTTTTTCAGGTTGGGGTATTCAGTTATGGCACGTTATGTATTTCGTATTGTACGTATTACTGCATCCACCTTTCGAATAAAGAAATACATAGTAGAAAATCGAACACGTAAATAATACGTGAACCATAATATTTGACCTTCATTTATTTTGTAGTTCAGTAATTATAACCGCGATTTTTATATAATTTGAATCATCATTTGATTCAGTGCTATTTAACGGAATATCGATCGATATGGCTGAAAAACCTAAGTGCGCCAAATTACCCACCTGCGTCAGAATACCCGACTTTTCCTTATGGGTTTTAAATTATTATTTTTTTTTATCCTAATTTCTGCCACCGCTAACTATAAATCGGACAAATATTGTCTAACGGTAATTTGGCAAATGAGCACGTGCCGCAAAGCGGCACGTGTAGCCAATCATTTGCCAAATTACCGTTATTCGCCAATTTTTGCCCAATATTGTATGCTTATCTTTAGTTAAAATGAAAAAAAAAGGGTTTACTGTTTTATATTACAAAAAGGCTTTATAATTTTAAAACGTCCAAAAATTACAACCAATACAATAATACGTTAATTTTTAATAAATATAATATTAGCAACTTTTCAAACTATATGGAAATACTTTCAAAGTTATCGGAAATATACAATATCTAATATTGAAAAATAAAAATAAAGTGTTAATTTCTAAAAGAAATACCATTAATTTTCATATTTTTCTAATAAGAATTTAGAGAATTATTAAAATTAAATCAATTATAAATAACAAGGTGTTAAATTTTATACCTTTAACGCGATTAAATCAATCATCTAAATATATACCAATATAAAATAAGTTATAAATTTGTTTATTTATAAATACTGTAAGTTTAATACAGTACTTACCAAGAGGAATTTCAACAGAATCGATAGGTTTACTTCGTAAAGTTGCTAATATAAGAATAATTGGTTTTAAATTATTAATTGATATCGTGTAATTTTTTAAAATAAATACCTTGAATTGCTGATATTCTTTGAGTGCTGATAATTTTGCTAGTGTACATAAAATCAGGATGCTTTGGTGAAATGGTTGGCAATTCTTTGACTATTTTATCGGCATCTAAGTATTGCTTTTTAATTTTATCCACATCATAATCATTTGGATTATAATCATCTGAATCATCTGAATCATATTCATACGAGCCCTCCATGATTTCATTCCATACGTTAAGTTTATCATAAACATTCCAAGCAGTAGGCCGTTTTTGTGGATCAGAATCCATACATTGATTAGCTAATTCAATATAACAATCAGGAGTACCAGGAGAAAATTCAGGTCGTAATCCAAAGAAATCTTTACTGCAAGTTCATCATCAAATTTACAACCATCAAAAGGTCTTTGTCCAGTTGACATCTCTGACATGATGACTCCAAATCCATAAATATCTGCAGCTAGTGTAAACTTTTGACCTGATAAAACCTCTGGTGCGACGTAAGGCATGACTCCATAAATACAACTTTCTGAATCATTTTTATCTTTCTCTTTAGATAATCCTAGATCTGATATATAAGATTGTATATTCTCACTAACGCCTTTATTTTGCAAAATATTACCACTGTGAAAGTCTGAATGAATATATCCTGCATTATGAATTTTCCATAAATCATTTGAAATATCTTGAAGTAATCTTAATTTAGTCTGCCAAGTAAGATTTTGAAAATTTGATCTTAAAAATTTATAAAGACTTCCACTATCTGCATATTGAAATACCATCAAGTATTCATTCGTTTCTGTGTTTTGAGTTAATCCATA